CAATATGATTTGGTGGGCTTCAATGTAGGGCAATGATTGAGCATTATCCATTCACAGTCATGTCCGAAAATATTACGAGGCAGTATTACTGGCGTATCAAATTTAACCATCAATTTAAACCCGGAACATGAATTTCAAATTGGTTGAAATACGAACACATGTAGTTGGTCAGTGTATTCATATATTACTTGGAATTATAAATATGACGCAGCGTTAAAGACCATGATGATCTCTATTAATTCTCATTAATCACTGAACATAACAAAATCATTCATATATAATTCATATTAAAAATCAAATTTAAAATAATTACTGAACATGACAAAATCATTCATATATAATTCATATCAAAAATTAAATTTAAAATAATAGCTACTTCGGCAGAGGTGATGAAATTCTTGCATACTATTGTTTACGTATCAACAGGCATAAGCCATAACCCTTATCACAGTCACCTTGATTCTTCTGGTTTTCGTAAGTTTTTTTTAACAGATGATTTCTCTTTTTATTCTCGTGAGAAATTATAAATCTATATTTTAGCCCCATCCTAGCTAAAAGTGGTCAGGACTTAACCGAACTTGTATCTACTCAAGATGGGGAAATTCCAGGTGCACTTCAATTTTATTCCCAATCTAAACCTTACCCTTATTTCAGAGTCCATATTTTGGGAAAAAATACCAGAAAATCAACATGACCTGGGATTTTTTGCATATCAATATGATTAAGTGTGGACCTACTACTATGGAACATTTTTTTAATCTCCTAAATATTCTCATTATAAAATTTTGGTCTCCTATCGTGGCCCCTCCCAACTCAAGAGAGTCTTGATTTGAACATACTTAAATTGAACCTACACTACTTGGGGATGCTTGCATGCTTACTAATTGACTAATTATGGTCCTGTTTTCTTGAGACGTAGATTTTTCAAGATATTTTCCTATATGTCCAATGTAAAATTGAGGCCCGGGAGGGAGGCATGATTAAATTTCTATATTTATTTCCCCATTTATATCGTATATTTGAGAACGTTTGTGACCTGTATGGTCCCAGTTGACCTTCACATTTCGCGTCGATTTGCAATCCCCCTCTGTTCCTTATTCCACCTGTGTTGCTATCAATTTGAGACGTCTTGATGAGGGATTTAAATTGACATAACATCCACCACGCGAGTGCTATCAAATAGTTTTAAATTTGTTTAAAACGCACATCAATTGAATTATTTATAAAAATTTGACAGCTCGCTATTTACACCTGACTGCCGATTAGAATTGAAGGCCATTACTGAAATTTAACCGTGTCATTTATGGCTGCTACTTTAAAACGATTAAAAGATTACTTCTAATCTCTTTCGTTTACCATCAGATTTTCCTTTTATTTTCTTTGCAGAGTTTCATGCAATCATGAAGCAGAACGGGTCTGTGAGGAACTCATAAATAGAAAAAAAAAAATCCTCCGTCATCGTGCGTGACAACTCGCCAATACTAAGTCTATGGAGGAAATGGGAATACACTACTAAGTGAATACACAAAAGTCTGAATACACTATTCTATAAATGAATGCACAATCGTCTTCTGTGGTCTTGAGTGGTTTTAATAATGGATAATTACGCTCCTCGGTTTAAAGTTCCAACCTGGTTGTCAGATGAGTTAGGGTGTCTCTCATGATCAGAGGGGAAGGAGTTGGTAAGTAATTTCGTTTTCTAAAAAAAATTCTTTATATTTTCCCTATATTATTTGAGATATCTTGGGGATTTTTTATATTTTAAAGAGAGAGAGAGAGATCGCAAAATCTACATATAAGTTCATGGACTGTTGTAGTTAGAGATATATCATTATATGTACGTGTACGTCCTTTCTGACTATTTTGTAAAATATCAGCAATACGACGCAGATTTTTATTTGACAAAATAAAACTGGACAGAAAAGACATATCCATAATTTTTAACTAACTGGTCGGAGTTATCGATATAATTTATAGAATTTATATCAATTTATATCTTTTCACTGAAAAAAAAAAAAAAAAAAAAAAAACTTTAAAAAAAAAATTATCGCCTATCAAAAATGTTCTCTTTTATCAAGCCAAACAAAAATTGGATAGAATTTTAAAAAAAAAATTAAAATTAAATGTTGGTTATGTAATTCGTATTTTGTGTTTGATCCATTACTTCTAGTTTTGGTCGCCCGCGTGGCGCAGTGGTTAGAGTCGCGGAGTAAGAAGCTGATCCTTACGTCGCGGGTTCGAATCCACTGTGGAACGTGGAGACCGGTCCGGTCTTTCAAATGAAACCGTATAAACCGAGATCCCGTGTCGCAGTAGGTTTTGGCACGAAAAAGATCCCTCTCTGCTCAATGGCCCTGCATGAGCGCCGAGTATATGTATAAATTTGCAGCTCTCCACCGGTAAGTGGTGGCGTCTCCATATGAGTGAAAAATTCTCGAGAGGGATGATAAACAACAAACAAACAAACTTCTGGCTTCAGTAACAAAAACGTCTTTATTAGTTTTTTTTAGTTTCTAGGAAATAAAACCATATCTCATTTTAGATAGCTATTACAGATACTATACAAATTAAATGAACGAGTCACCAGTTGAAAGATCTTTAAATTCAATTATTATCGTGAAGTTTAGCATTATATGTGTTCAGTGCAGCGTGGAATCCATTCCACTTTTTGGACTATGCACATAATTGAAAACCAATGACTAAAAACAATAAATACACAACAGAGTGATAGACTTTATCTAGGATACGCCCGGTAAAATCAGAAAATTTGCGTTTCTTTTCGAGAAAGTTCTGCGGATGTAGTAGGGTGGCCGGTGGTAAAGACGGGATTTTAATATCATAGAAAACAAAGTGTTCATGAATAAATTTTACTGGTGTTTCTCTTACAAAGCTAATAAAAATTTAAGCAAATGCACATCAATTATATCTGCAGATCTGTAGCTCGCTGGTCTAAAAAAAAAATGGGATGGACAACCATACCATTTTTTCCAGATCAGCGAGCTACAGATCTGCAGGTACATTAATGAATGATTATTTAAACATTTTAACGACTTGAAAAAAAAAAAAAAAAAAGAACTTACACTTGTATTTTATTTTTTATTATCCGGGTATCTTTAATTTCTAATTCATGAGTTGTTTCCTGTGATAATAAGGACGTGTAATCGTTATATTAGACGTCTATACTATCCATTCTTTAAGTACTGTTGAAGCTTTCCCTCTCTGCGTTACATGTCTCTAAAATATTTTTTTCATACAAATTCTGCAAATTTGGACACTCTGCCTAATATTGCTTATAATAAATTACTTCCAATACCTGCCGTAAATGTGTCAGTCATTTATTGTTCTGTGTACAAAATCAATATCTTACAGTTTGCCGTCACCTGGAGCAATTAAAACTCTTGTTGTTTGGAAAGAGGGACAAAAAAGATATTCAAAGTTTTAACGGAGCATATTTTGCTAGGGCACTTCAAAATGAAAGCGATTTAATAAAAAAAAAAGACTGGGGTTAAAACATGGCATCTAATCTTTCTGTATATTTTTTTTTTCTGGTACAGAAAGATATTGCCGACCGAATTTATACCATATTGACCACTGGAATAGCACGTGTACTTACAAGTAGAATTATACAGAATATTTGTTTTTCTTGATTGAAAAAAAAATAGCCCTATGCTTCCGCATATCTTTATTCTCACCAGCAAATATGATACTCTGAATCAGTCGCTAGGTTTTCTTTGAGGCTCGTAAAACTTGCCAACTTTTCGCGAGCAATTGCAACTTAAGTAGCTCTCCGAAGTTCGGAGGTATTATGTGTTTACGGGTATGAATGCTTTTTGAAGAATGGACATAAATTCGGTAATGAATCATTAATCTTTGTCCGACATGATCGAAGGTGAAAAGATGCTTTGCAGATTTACGTTTAAATGTCGACAAGTCTATTCCGTTTGTTATCTCGGTATAAAAGAACATGGGAATTCTTTGGATCGGGGTGATTGAGTCTTTGTGACAAACTGTAGATTTAAAAAAAATGTTTCTTGAGCCAAGGTCTACATAGTTTGGTTGCGTAGAGCTGTTGAATTTGTAGACATAAAATACGTACAGAGATGTATACTGCACATCTAAGTTTCGAAGAAACACCTGGCATAAGATTTCTAAAATTTATCTACAAGTAACCACTTCAATAATTAAAAAAAATGTATTTACATTTGGAATGAGGATAAATATTAAAATATACCTACATATATCGGGGCGGGGCGGGGGGGGGGGGGGCATTGATCAAACTTTGTATAAATGCAGGATAAGTAACGTTACTTTAACCTTAAAACAGTTATGAAATTTTTTTTTTCATCTCACCTGTTCATTGCTCACTAATCAATACATGAACTCAGAAGAGAAAATAAAATTTGCCAGCAAGGCGATGATTAGAGAACCTAGCGAAAGATTTAAAATCCACCGACCTATACACATTTCATTCAATTTAAACATTCAGTTATGAAGTCTGTTTAAAATCCACAAATTACAACAATGGCGTTTCTATTTGTCTAGATTTATCGTGTTTTCAATTATATCAGGCTTTTAAACAGGGGGAGAGAGTATTGGGTTAGGAATACATTAATGTATTGCAGTGATAGAATTTTGTTTGGTGTGTAAATAAAAACAAATAGTTTTCGCCGCTCCCGTTTCATTCATACCAAGACGAACTTTTGCAAAAAGCATGATTCTCTTCTGTGATCAGGAAACTTTTTTGTGAATTAATTTTCCTGATACATAGTTTTAATGAAACAGTTATTGCAATAAAAATGAAGAAATATCGTTAAACCTTGCTTCTCTTGGTTATATAGTTTTCCTTTGATGTTTTAAATTAAGAGCGCTCCCTACTGATAAAACGGAACTCTTTAACGCAGGAGGTAAAATCAATCTATAGTTCTATCACCGACAGTTCATTGTGACTGAAGCAGTGAAATAGTCAGTAAAAGCAATGAAGGCGAGGAATCCACGTTTTCATTGCGCTCTAACTGCGGTATATAGAATGGATTAATATCCATAATCAATAATTCGCCACTCGCGACTTAATCATCATTTTTTGAGAATGGATTATCGGGGGTTTAATGAGCTTTAGTCCTCTGCATGTTTGTCTTAATAAGGGTTTAATATTTTTTCTCTGATATTGCCCTCTTGGCTGTGTGAGGCGAAAGCTAGCGAGATCTTGAGATATCCCGGACATGGCAAGCGTTTTTCTGTGTGCGGAGTGCTTTCATTTCATTTCTCTAGATAGGAAATATTTATCGAATGCATTTATCAGACGGATAAACATTTGTTGACATAACAGGTTACCTTTAGAATTCTTTTTTAAAGGTAAGTGGTTTTAATCTTTTTCAAGTTATCAGAGCGACTGGACTTTACCAAATACACGGGACTGCAGGCATAAAACTCTTTGGGTTCGCGTTTTCTCACCCCTGTGAGATTTATCGACATATACCCCCAAAAGTCTTGTGAATGTAGGTTTAAAATCAATATATAGACCTGCGAGTTTTTAATTTTCTCAGGGGTGGATTATTTGCATTGTAGGAGAATTGTGTTAATTTTAATTTCTATTTGTGTTCTTTACAGTGTTTCCATGTTATGTTTGATTTTGTTTGTTCTTATACAGAAAACATCTATAATGACGACCAGTGTTATAAAATCACGGATCACCGCCACTTTAACGGGGCAACCTGGGGATCCACAAACGTCCCGAGTCTACAAGAGAAATCAGGTTGTATATCCACAATGGATGCGCACTTTAGAGGAGAAATATAAACGGCTCCACATGAAAATCAGGAAATCTACGTCCTCTATGACGTACATGTACAACTCTAGTCTAGGACGAAACATTACAGAGCAGAAGACAGCTCGACAAGGAGTTTTCAGCAGCCGAAACGAGGCTCCCACTAAACCTTTGTCAGACTCACAACAAATTACAGTTCTTCAAAATACATCAAACACTCAGGTTAAAAGTACTCCGTGTTCATCGGCGACGAAAATTAGGATTGCTGCCACGGAGATTTCGGACGGCCCCGAAATTGTGAAGGAAGTGTGTGATAACGTTATTATTAACGAGAATACGTGCTCTTGTGAAAGGGAATGGGAGACCAAATCTTTGGATTCTAACGGCAATATTAATAATGCATGTGTTCGTGAATGTGACTGTCAAAGCCAAAGGGATCTAGAAGTCCCTTGTGATAATACTGCGGGATCTACAGATAACAATATGAACAAAAGACACATCGAAAAGGCAGGTTTAAAAACTAAATGTAAAAAGGTCAATATAGCACCTATTGAGCAGGTTGGAAATAAAACATCGATTGAGACTTCTGATTGTAATAACGTTATCGGTGTTGAATCTAGTTCCCCTTTCATTACGCATATCGGTCCCCGAAAGAACTCTCCTCGAACTAAGACCTCCGTTAGCAGAAGAAGCACCGTCACACAGAAGACGTCCAAGTCCTGTCCGCCAGCGATGGAGCTCGATATCGCGACGTTCAATCACGTTAGTCATAAAGCAGTGCCAACGCTACGTGCAAAAAGTGCTTATTCGGGAAAACCTCTAACTTTTAGATCCTCCAAATTATTTTCAAGGATGTCACAGGAGGCTCAGCACGCTATGAATGAGACTATGAAAGACCGCGAGGGGTTAAAAACGCCAAATAATGACGTCAAAACTCAGCAATGGATTGATGAGAACTTTACACATCAAGATATCATTCTGACCCGGGTACAGGAAAACGTTCCTATCAAACAGTATCACAATCCGGAAAACAAAGGGCGGGGCTACTACTTAGACGAGGATGTCTATGAAACGAATTTCAATATGGACGATATACTTCCTGATGATTCTTGTACAGATTCAGAAATGTCTGTCACCACTAGGAGGCGCCCCATCACTGCAGCGACCAATAAAACTCGACTTCCGTCTATCCCATCAGACTCTACAGCTGACTTTTGCACACTTGGGCAGCTGAATCATTACAACCTCCGGTTGCCAGGTATCGGACGATACGAGATCGCGACGTTACGAGAAAAGACATTTGAGATTACTCCGCCTGGGTATGATATAAGATATAATGATATAGCGGTGTTCGAAGATGGAGAAAGAGTGAGCGAACTTCCGTCAGATGACATCCGCGAGAGGGCAGTGCAAAAATGTCAAGACTGGTTATCAAGGCACAGTCCCCGAAAGGAATTGTCTTAATGGCCATTTGTGACGTCATAAAGTTGTGTTCCTAAATTATCTTACTGGTTCAAGTCTTCAAAATAGCTATTCTAATAGATATTATGAGATGGCTCCATTAAAGCAAATTTTAAAAACCCCATTATGTTACAAGTGACAACATAAAGGGAAAAACTTACAGAGTCATTTGTGGAAGTGCTTTAGTGCTACTTTACGTCATAGCTATTTATAACCCAGTGATTTGCATTTCTTAAGACAGGGTATTGATTATTGAATTCGTTCATTATTTTTAAAGCTATATTTATATATATTTATACATCAGTTAACAGTATTACTGTCAGAGTATGTGCTTTTGTTCGTTTATTTGTTAACACTTCCTTTACTCTTAATAAGTGTTTGGTTGTATATTAAGTATTGGTTGTTTAAAGAATTCTGTTTATTTTCTGAAGTGATTATACATGCAATTACATGTATGTTGCATTTAATGCCAATGCAATGACTTAAGATTAGGAATACAGTCTTAGTGGAATAGGAAACATTTAGAGTTTAAACAATATTTTTATTTTTTACAAAGTTATATTTATAAATATTCAATGTTTATGTATTAAAAATGGGAAGGGTGTTGGGAAAAGGGTGCATTTATAAACTAATAAGGTCAATTAATACATATCATTTATAGTATTTATTTTATTATGAATTCGTTCTTTACCTCTTATGTTCTGTAAGCATTGTTATTTCTTTTTTTATAATTCAAAAGTCATATCATGACTTTAAAAAACCACCAAATATATTTATATAGAAAGAGAAAAGTCTTTGTGGTCATTTCTATAAACCATAATTTTAAGGAAAAGTAAAAGCTTGAAAATCAACCACGAATGTACAGGGTCTAAATTCGTATTATTTTGGAAATTATTGACACACACACATAAAGTATATGATATATACATGTATATAAAGAGAGAGAGAGAATCGCCGACCGACATGTGCATATTATGGCAAGGTTCGATTTCATTTCAAAGCTTATCCTTGAGATTGGATCAGCACTACTGTAATTTCACAGATTTGGAGATCTTCAAAAGATCTTAATGAAAAATAGAATAATATTTTGCTTTAAGGGTTATCTACAGGTCAGAAAGTTTTATATAATTATGTGACTCTTCAAAGCATCCATCTTTAAAAATTATTGCGCATATTTCATACAGTAAATTCATTCAGATCATTCTATTGTCATCATATCTGCATCTACACCTGTTTTATTTAGAATTTTTTTAAATGATGAACTTATTTTTTAATCTGGAAACACTAACTCACTATTTTGATTTATTCAGGTGAAAAACTAGTTTTAATACACCTTTACTATTGGTCTGGAGATGACCAGCCCCCCCCCCCCCCCCAAAAAAAAAATATAATAATAATAATAATAATGCACATATAATTTTTAAGTATATCGTGACATGTAAAACTTTGTTTTGGAAAACTGTCAATTTTTTCTGAAAGTATAAAAACGGATTAGCGTCTTAAAGATTAGTCCTTTTGTTTACGGGAGCATCGGTTTAACTACAACTCCTTTGACACGTATTCGACATAGTTTCAAACAATAGGTCTCTCTTCAATAAATCTGTATTTACAAATAAAATTTCGCGCCACACTTGTCTCAATAATTAATCCTATTATAATTACTCTCACTGATATTGCGCCAGGGATTTGAAAAAAAAAAAGATTACCTCGTGTCCACAAGGTGTTTAGATACAATTACATGTAATGGGTTTAAGCAATAGAGATCTAATACGCCCAGTTCCCAGTTCCTATCCCCACCCCTTCCCTTTAAAAAAAATCCTTTCCCATTTCTAAAATTGAAATATTAATTTAAAAAGTTATAACTCTGAAAATTTAGTGACTGTAATTCATTGTATAATTTACTCCAGGAAGATTATTTCAGAGGACGTTTTTGAACAATTGTGTATAAACATTCAATCAGATGCATTGAATCGTAAATGACGCTGTTTGCAGCCGATTTTTCGCACATGAATCATGGCCGTTGGAACCGGGAGGAGAGGCTTCCGTCAGATGACATCTGTGCCCCCCAACAATAATTTTGCCGATATACAGAATGCTATAGAAAACATAGCTACTATATGCTTGTGCCCCCTCAATAATCACCTCGGATGTTCTTTTCTTTCTTTCTTTTTTTCTTGTCAAGAAATTTTTTGGTAGTTGATAGTGCAACCCCCCCCCCCCACACACACACACACACCCCTCAACTGAAAATCTGAAAGTGTATGCTAATTGCTCTGCTGAGGACTCACGTAACCTTTGGACAATTCGGCGTGACGTAGCTATATTCCTAAAACCCCAAATTATCGATAAAACTGCACTTCATGAGTATGGACCTAAGGATTTCCGTCGAAGAAGTGTTTTAGTATCTGAAATTATCTGAAACTTTTACCTATGTAAAGGTTTTTGGTAAATGGCCACAGTTTTTGATTTTTAATAAAATCATTACATAAGATATTTATTTGAATTGTAGACCTTGTATAATGAAAACTCTAACTAGTTATTACTGAATTGAGTTTTGGAGAGAAAGAACTATTCAGCCTCGAAATGACAATATCCGATTATGTCACCAAAATACGAAAAAAAAAGTTCTGTGTTATTATTCTCAAAAATATAATTTTAAAAATGTTTGAATTAAGCGTGAGTCTAAATTCTTAAGCTGTTATTGGTTTGAGTATATGTATTATTTCTAGTCAATATTTTATATCTACATACATATCTGTAGGATCTAAAAGTCCTCCCCCGTTTATTATTATACATAACAACATATGTGTTTATTTAAACACTTTACAAAAAACCCAATACCATCGTTCAATATTCTCTGTAAACAGAACGTTGGTCTACTTCAGTATTTAAAAAAAATGTGAAGCTATTTTTGAGACAAGGAAAATATTTGCTTTACTTAATAAACGTATTTCCTTTCTTTCCTTTTTTTTATTTCAAAAAATATTCGCCCGACAGCCCAAGAGACTCTTTGTCAAATGACGAAGAAATGTATAGATTAAAACCGAAAATTTCAACGTTAAGCTTGTTATGGCACAAAACTGTTTTATAACACCGAAACGGTAGAAATTATGGATTCCTTCGCTTTGAAGAGTTAAACCCTAAAGTATGTAGAAAGAATAATAATTACATTCAACATCTACCTCTTCCGACCTACTAAAATACTATCATAAAAATTATGTGAGTTCTGAATTAAACTCTTTCGAATCAAATGAATCGAAGTGTCAGAAATTTGAAACTTGTACGTCATTAGGTATCCACTGGGAGTTTGTTGTGTATAAGTTTTCCAAAAATAATGTCCATATGTCAAACACCTTTTCTCTGTTATTAATCTTACAGTGTTATCCGATAGATATCAATTGAAAATACTCGGAAAGAAAAAAAAACTAGCATCTATTTCAGCATATTTGATATGCATTACAATTTTTCTATTGTTATTTAACTTTGTTTCCTAGTCATGGCAGCTAGCAGTCATTGTTTCAGCCTTGGGCTATTATATAACGTACATGTTATTGTAACGCCTTTAGAATCGTCTGATAAACAATACAGGCCGAAACCCGATCGCGACTTTACCATAAACAAAAAATGTCGGGCTCGATGGTCCGGAATAATGTTTTTGTTTTAGATCGATGTTGTGTCGCGTGTAGACCTAATATCTCAAATGTTGTCACCCGGAAAATCGGGGGGCACTTACTATGAATGACAATATGCGACAAATCATTACAAATGGGTGTATTTACAGAAGAACAAAGGACTGTGACAAGTTTTGTGTACGTTTCAGAGGGCGTGGACTGTACACAATTACAGAAAGACCGCAGTGTCTGAAATGAATGTTGAAACTCAAGTAAATAAGAATATTTCATGCCAGCACTTCCACTGCTATACAATGTATTGGCAGAAACTTACTTAACAATACGATACAGTTGGACTGGGAGTACTTTAGGTCTTTTTTACCTTTCTCCTTTTTTTTCTCCTTGCCCCCCCAACCCCCCCCCCCCGAATCCCAATTCTTCCTTCTCCACTTCCTACCCTCTTATTTTACGCTCCTCTCTCTCTCCTCTCCGAATCCCCGAAACACTAAAATGTACTACGTCATTAAATTACTATCTGTAGGTTCATATTTTTGCGTTATAACAGTATTCGAGGATACACGTACATGTAGTTCTTTATACGCAGTTTTCACTGTACAAAGGAACACACGGGAGAAAACAATTATTCGAAAATTATAAATTTACAGTAAGAACCTGGTATGGGGGAGATTCCAAGTGTTTCTTCAACTTTGTGCACTTGCATTGTAACAATGTCATACAATTACAAGACTTAGAATAAAAAGGCACACACTCCTTGGATGAAAATCCTGTCCCATCATAAACCAAGAGACTTTTTTTTCTATATTCATCAAATGTTTCAGGAAATAATTTTCATTTTAATCGTTGAACGAAATAATTTAATGTAAATGTACTAATATAGCAGTCAGAAAAGCTGAAAAATTCTCTAACATTTATATACTAGGGCTTTTCTCCTAGTCTCCCACATTTAGAAATTATGAAATCAGCATTTTAAACATTGAAATCGAACTAGATAAATTCATTTTTTTAACTCCTTTTCTAGACATTCAAGGTTATCTGTCAGAAATGCTGATATTCACCATTTTCAAGGGGGCTAAGTCCCAACCCCAATCCCCACCCCAACCCCCCAGCAGAAATTATAAAATTTCATGATGAAATCAACACGTTAAATGTTTGTAATCAGACCAATTCATTTTGAAATTTCTAGACACTCAAAATTTGCTGTCAAAAATGCTCAGAAAATCAATACCTTCCGGGGGCTCTGTCCCTTGTATCCCCACCAGGGCTTTGTGCCCTATACCCCACGAGGGCTTCCTCCCCGTACCCCCACCAGGGCTTTGCCGCCCCACCCCCACCCCCCCCCCGAACTCCCACTAGGGCTTCGTCATAGACTATTGGGTGCCTCAAGGCGACCACAAACCCCCGACCTTTATATTTGCTTCTGCATCAATCACCACCGGCTACGCCCTTGACCATTTAAAAAAAAACCTCTCCATCAGGAAGAAATTATATTCTCAGACTTGTTCCTAAATTGTAAAATGCAATTTTTAATTTATAGTTATTCATAAATCAGATTTAGTTTTTGCAAACAATTAAATACCCAAAAGGCACCGCATTTTGACTTGCATACCTAGAGCCATATGAAAAAATGTCTTCTTTTTACTGAAAAAGCATACATGTATGTACTTTGGCTGTGAATACAGTATATACCACCATAGCTAACTTTCAAACGAGATTTTTGTAGATTTCTAAATTACTCAGGGGTCGTTTAAAGTTAATAGAAGCCGTTACTCTTAACTCTTATCAGCTGCAGTCGATAATTTAAACATTGTTATCTAATTAAGGACAAACATGGGAAAATTAATGGCCTCCAATTACCGCGTCCGTGGTAACCACGCAGAAAAACATTTACCGGAAGTTGAAGTCTGAGAATCAAATTATCGAGGGCGGGGTACCTGTTAACAAAACCATGCGAGAAAGTTCTGACGCTTAGAACGAGGTTTTTGTAGAAGAATTGGTAAGAATTAGTAATTGATTTATCTCATCAATCAAACAAATCAATGACTCACTTTAAAAAAAAAAAAAAAAAAAAAAAAAAAAAAAAAAAAACAATGCAAATGTACTTTGTATACAGGTGAATTTTAGCGTGGTTTTTGTGCCCTAGCTACAATATACAGTCCAAA